TATATATACAGCATTTACAAAATATTGATTAAATTAATTTACTATCTCATTTTGATCATAAATTTATTTGTCCTCCTTTACAAAACACTGTGAAATACTTCACTGTACTTTATGACTTTTCAAGACATTATTCATTATTCGCCATGTTGCTTTCAAATCACTTTTACTTTTATCTAATAAATCACGGTAATATTCCTTCTTATGTTTTCTTTTAATCCTACTTGTTTTTGTGTTTTTATATCTCTTTCCCACTTCTTTTGTTCTCAATTTTAAGAAGCATTTTCTTCACTTCAGGGTGTCACTCGAAGTATGACAGCAAATGTTTGTCAGAGCCCTGCCTCTTCAGAGAAGAAGAGCCACACTGGACTCAATGCAGGATGATATGCAGCATATCACTGCCATGTGAGGGGGGTTCTGTAAGCAGGACAAGTAGGAAGGCAGAGGAGCAAGATGAAGTCAAGAACAATGGTACTTATMCATTTTTTAATTAAAATATTTGAACATTGCGCAAAGCCACCTCAAACTTTAATCACTATCCTGATTGTATAAACATATTTATTGTTTCTTCTATTATAGCTACATGAGTATATTTCTTCAGCTAATTGCACAATAAAAATATAGTCYCCATAAAAATTGAAGAAATATAGCCTCATTAGAATCAGATTTTATTTAGACGAATTTTATCCTTTGCATTATGTGATTTTTTTTACAAACTTTTTACTTTTACATCAAAAGTTTCCCTTGCAAAAATTCAACTGCAGAAATTAAAAAACAAATAAATGAAGAAAAGAAAAAAGAAAGAAAAAGAAAATGTGCCTGTGAACGTGTTGAGCTTCCAGTGATTCAAGCCAAAGCAATCAGCACTAGATTGAGTTGAGCGACTTTTAGCCAATCTAATTACATTTCTTTTGTTCATGTCGAGCTGAAAATGTTTAAATGTCTCGCCATAGTAGACATGAGTGATGCACTAGGATTTTGCAGTCAAATTTCTGCAGTGGGATATTTTTCAGACGAAACTTTGCAGCAGGATTTTTTCATGCAAATTTCTGCAGTTGATCTTTTTGCAGGCAAACGTTTTGCTGGCGAATTTGAAGAAATCACGCACACATAGCTGAAACATTTAGTGTTACAAATTCAACGTTTTTTTTTTTTTAAAGTCTGATTCTAATGAGAAAATCCATGAGGCCTTGTCAAACTGTCCCCTGAAATGCAGTAATTRCATAAAGTGTCCGGCAGATGTCACTGTTTGTTTGGAGCCTTTGGAAACAGTTGGTTGCTTTCAGGACACCTGTCTGAAAGTACCGCATTATTTCAGGAAGTCGCGTCATCATTTCTAATAAAGTGTTCTTATCTGTATTTAACAAATTGTGCCAAACTTTCTGTGGCTTTTCGGCCGAACCTTTGGGATCTGTACTAATTTTAAGCTAGTTAATATTCCGGAAAAACAACTCTTTACCATTTTTATAAAAGTTTGCAACTCGAACGTGTTTTTGCTGGTTGCAAACCTAATTCACAATAATCGCTGTAATACACATGCGGTGGTGATGAATTAAATCAATTTGCAAACGTGTTGTAAAATAATAACCAAAACAATGATTGTGTTCAAACAGGAGTTTTCATATTTCCTACAGCGGATGTGACCCTGAACGTTCCTCAGAGCGAGCAGGAAGTGGTTGCCCAGCGGCCGGATGTTCTGGGAGAAGACAGGCCCAACAAAGGAAAACCAGTGAGTAGCCTGGGTTTGAATCTTCTCATATCACGAAATTACAAACATCACCTGTTGTYCGTTGTAGGTAAGTGAGTTTTCTTCTGGCTGCTCTTTATTTTACAGCTGTTTTTACTTTTTAATCGCAGGCTAGCCGCCGTTAGCCAGCTAGCAGCTCTGATGCTGCTGCTAGCGTATTACATATTGTTTACATATTGTTTACATATTGTTTACAATCCCCGGTGTTAAATTATCTGTATAAGCCGTGGTAGATGAGCTGACAAGTACGTCACGAAATGTTATTGATTATATTTCAACAATGGAAGCCGTCTCCTGTGAGACTGAGCTTCACCGAAGAGCTTTAAAACAACAGGAGCATCATGGGTGTGCCTCTGACGAATAACCATCCAAATTAAACTTAACACCAAGCTGCTGCATCGACGATGTTTTTTACGATATTTAGCGCCAACACAACAAAAAACTCACAAAACTTCTTTGTCCTTCACAATAAGAGCATCCGGTCCAGTCCTTCACAATTGAAGCCCCAAACTTATAGATTTAATTGAAGTGAAAATCACGTGTTGTGAGAAGTGYGTATCTGAAAGAAACTCACACTGATGACTTCACTGAGACTGAGGCTAAAAACAGAAGTGGACATGTTTCAGAGAAGTCAGGTGGTTTCAGTGGAGTTCTGCTCAGCAGTGTGTGAATTATCATCTAACATCAACAAAATAAAATAAAATAAAATAAGACATTCTTAAGATTGTTCTTGATCTAACCGTCTAAAGCTATAATACAGAAAATAAACCAGCAAAGACATGTTTGTCTGCATCAGTTCACCTTTCATAACAACTGTTAGCTTAGCCTTTTTCTGAAAATAACYAAACTAAGTGAGGATAAATTAGGCCTGGGCCATATCGCTTAAAATTTTATCTTTATATAAGTCAGTGCTGTAAGTATCACAAAGTGATACTTGAGTAAAAGTACAAGTATCTTACCAAAAAAAYACTKTGTTAAAAGTTAAAGCAGTGTTTCTCAAAGTTGGGGTCGGGACCCAAAGTGGGGTCC